TTGTTCATTATCCATTTGTTTTTGAGTTCAGAGTCAATACAACCGAAATGAGTACAATGCCTTGAAAGTTTGTACGTAGCAGACATGTGGTCTATACATATTTCATGCTCAATCAATTTGCTGTGTACATTTCCCCAGTCACAAAAACCTGTAATATGGTGCCATTCCCGAGCATAACGACGCTGCTCATGTGTGTTGTTATAGGCTTTCCTACTTTTTGGAATACAACTCCGGGAGATAAATGTGTGTGTTTAAATATTCATAATTCATTTATAGTTTTTAAAAATTGGAGGCTTATTAAGGCTAATAATGTGCAAGTGATAGGTTGGTAACAGTTCATGTATTTAAAGAAAACTATTTCCAAAATAATAACAAACTTTTATTTCAAACAGTATGTATAAAAATACCAAATTAAACATTGTAATTTTTTTGTAAGACATATATATATTTAAATTTATATTTATTTTCACAATAAGTACTAGAAGTTAAAACAAAATCAGTTTAGCTTATCTATGTAATAGATTCGCTTTCTGTGACTATCTATTTCTTTCTTTCATGGTTCACGAAAGTGTTTTGATTTGCAAGTAATTTTTGAATGAATCCAGGAGGGTTGGCAAGTCTAGTTTTGTATATGAATTATTAAAATGAAAAAATAAGTTTTTAATTATTTAAATGGTGGAAATACAAAACTATGTTCCCTGAAAGATATTTAATTTTTAAGTTACCCAAAGGATGCTCCTAAATTTGGTATAGGAAATGGAAAATAAGCATTACTAAAATGTTTCAGTACATGATGTTTCAATGAATGACCGGTTATTTATCAGAAGTAAAAGGGTTATGGTATATTGATATGAACTGCGTTTAGATGAAACCTAAATCACATCCTTGCTATGAAGGTATTCACATTACTCTTTGTGTGATAAATGAAAAATAAACAATCATGTATGAACATTTTGAATTTAGAGTTTTGCCCCCCTCCCCCGAATCGGAGGCCCTTGACGAACAACTTTTGCGTCTAGTGATAAACTCGCCACTGATTGGTCTATTTATGCTTTGCCCACCACTGGATCGAAAACCGGTTTTTTTAGCGTTGTAATCCTGCAAACTTCCCACTGAGCAACTGGAGTGTATAGAGGGAGAGAAAAGGAAAAGCTGAAACTGGAAAGGGTATGACTTCTAAACAGAAGACAAACCTAGAAAAAATATAGTCTCAAACAGGAAGTAGTGTTAAATCGTTTTATACTGCTGCTCTCTAGCTCTTATATTCCGCTACAATGTTATACAACTCTCTATAATATTGTCTTCTTATCATGATGTTATATTACTTCCACTTTCGGATTATTTCTCTCCCTATAGTGCTTTGTGCTCTTTATTTTTAGGTTGTATCCGTCTATAAAGCTATTATGTTAACCCTTAATACGAAACCAGGAGTGTCAACGTATAACGAGTAGACAGTAGAAAAGAGAGAAGACAGTAGTACGTAGAGAACTATATACCAAAATCGGAAGTAGTGTAGGATCATAACAATTAGATACCACTACAACCAGAGATACAATATACAACCGAAAGCAAATTAATATCACAACGAGCCGGATTTTCTATACATGCGAAGTAGAACATCATCATAACGAAAGAACAAAATCAAAAAGGAGGACATGTTCTAATACCGGAAGCAGCATAACATCATATCGAGAGACATATAACCAAAAGTCGAAAATGACATAACATCTTGATGGGAAGACAGCACTATAAACATTGTATTCGCATAACAAAAGGAGGGAGCAAGATAATATAAACACTGTTGTTGATATATAATTTAATACTGAAGTAATATAACATCAAACCGACTAGAAGCGTAATAAAGAAAGAGATAATTTGAAATCGGAAGTAGCAAAACATCATATTGAGTAAACAGTACAATAGAGATGTAAGCACTCAAAAATGAAAAGTAGTATAACATCGTTTAATAGAGACAATCTAAAACCGGAAGTAGTATAACATCGTTTAGTAGAGATTATCTAAAACCGAAAGTAGTATAACACCGTTTAATAGAGACGATCTAAAACAGGAAGTAATATAACATCGTTTAATAGAGACGATCTAAAACCGGAAGTAGTATAACACCGTTTAGTAGAGACGATCTAAAACCGGAAGTATTATAACATCGTTAAATAGAGACGATCTAAAACCGGAAGTATTATAACATCGTTCAATAGAGACGATCTAAAATCGGAAGTAGTATAACATCGTTTAATAGAGACAATCTAAAACCGGAAGAAGTATAAAATGGCAACAAGTAAATAACACTTTTGCGAGAGGTGTAATTTAAAATTATAAATAGTATAACATCATAAGGGTAGACAGAATTTTAGAAAGATATACAGTAATTCTGGAATCACCACAACTTTATCATAATCATAATCATAAAACTTCATAGTGATTAATTACACAAGTTATAAATTTACATAATCAGAATTTAAAGCAGTCGTGAACGATTATCTAAACAATTCGAAAGGACGTATTCTGTTTTTATATAATTTAGTATGTGTTGGTCATCGCTTATCCTATTTGTTAGTAAGTGCACCAAGTACTTAATCACTTTGAGATTGCATCATTACCATTTTTCATGTGATGTAAATAGGTAACTTGATACATAAAGGAATTATGAATGATTTCCACAACCACATATTAAGTATTCATGCACATTTACGTGCTACTAGCTTGGAGTTTCGTAAAAGGCTAGACGCTTCTTTTAATAATAGATATATGACTTAGGTTGGCATGCATAGGTATAGCTTGTTGTTGACATGAGATTTGTTTGTTATAATATTTTTGATATTATTTTAATGAGATTTTTAAGAAGAGGAATATGTAGTAACCCACTGTACGTTTGTTCAAATGTGCAGCTATCTTAAAAATCAATTTTATGGGAAAATGTTTGACGAAGAGTTGTCTTTTCTACTTGTGGATAATCAGATGATTCATATTTTATGGTATAGATTCATTTTCTGTTTCTTTGAATTTTAATTCAGTTGATTCGCATTATTGGGAAAATTATATTAACCTTGTTTGTTTGTTTTGAATTTCGCGCAAAGCTACACGAGGGCTATCTGCGCTAGCCGTCCCTAATTTAGCAGTGTAAGTCTAGAGGGAAGGCAGCTAGTCATCATCACCCATCGCCAACTCTTAGGCTACTCTTTTACCAACGAATAGTGAGATTGACCGTCACATTAAAACGCCTCCACGGCTGAAAGGGCGAGCATGTTTGGTGAGACGGGGATTCGAACCCGCGACTCTCAGAATGCGAGTCGAGTGCCCTAACCACCTGGCTATGCCGGGCCCTATATTAACCTTATAACATGTTCTTTGCTATTATTATAATGTCACGAATATAAAAATATTAAAACGTTGAAATGAACCTAACCTGTTACAAAACAATTCATTGTTTCGAGTTAAAACTGAAAATGTACAGCTCTGTGATAAGGCTGAATATACACTCTTGAACTTTGCGATTTATCCCACTTGTTCCATTTAGGTACGTTTGTACGTCAGAATGAACAATATATTTCACCTTTCCCTTAGTGTGAAACATCTTAAAACTCGTCTTCTTTAATAACACTACAACAATTTTAGTCTTAATAGCAATTCATAGTTTATTAAAACATCCCCAACCACCAACATGTTCGTATTAGAACAGCAAGTGTTGTACTTATATATAATTCAAGTAGAAGAAATGATGAAAATATATTATCGAGTTTAAGAGTTAAAAAAAATGTAATAACAATCCCCAAAGAATAAAGTAATTTGATTTGATTTTTTCGAGTTGTTCATTTCTCGTCACTTGTGGGTTACATATATTTGTTTTGTTTCCTTTATGTGTCAAATGACTGAATCGTGTAGGTGTAACTACTAACAATTAACACGGATTTTGAGAATCGAGTCTTTAGTGTCAAGAACCTAAACAAAGTTATGTTGTGGGGATTTAATGGTGGATAAAGGTATTGGGAGACTCAATATTGTGGAAGGCACAATAAACGCTAGACTTTACTTAGAGATTCTCCGAACATGCATGTTTCCACGCTACATCTTTCAAAATAGAAATGCGCTCAAAGATCATTCAAAGGTAGTTTCAAGAATATGATAGCAAAAGTCAAGAATGGCCAGGGAATCCTCCAAATCTCAATCCAGTAGACAGCTTGTGGAATAAATTAACATATAATAAAATTTACAATAAACATTCTGCCAAGAAACAACACTTAGTTGAATGGGATCATATTGTTACATTAGAATTCTTAAGAAATCTTTTCTGTTGGATGCCAAAAAAGACGAGCAACTGTAGTTAAGAGCAAAGGATAGCCAAAAAAAATATTTTTGTCCACAAGATGGTGCAGTTGAATTTGACTTGTGCAATATTGCAGATTTTGTACATTCGTTAAAACAGGTACTCCCTGAATTAACACGTGGACTTTATGCGTGTTTCTATCATCATTGTGCAATGTATTCACATAAATAAATACTTGGTGTAATTCTATTAACGATTATAGAAAAAAGCGTATCTAAGATGATCAATATTTTAGTCATCATCTAAGCCAGGGTTTCCCAACCTTTTTGCTCTTTCGGAGCACTTTTAACGAAAAACATTATTTGCGGAGCAATATAATCTGTAAATTTTTAAACAAACCTTATGGATTACGAAAAGTAAAAAAGAAATGCATAAAAACAATGACCTTTGAATAATTTCAAATAAAAGACAAATAAGAGATATTTTTGGCACAATTCAGTGGCTCACTTGCGGTTGCTTCGTACTGCAAGCCCCCCAGTGACACAGCGGTATGTCTGCGGACTAACAACGCTAGAATCCAGGTTTCGATACCAGTGGTGGGCAGAGCACAGATAGCCCGTTGTGTAGCTTTGTGCTTAATTACAAATAAATCGTACTGCAGTTTTTTCAATATCAGGAGTTATTGATGTTATCTGTAAACGGAGATCATTTTCTATGTTCAATCTATTTCTAAATTTGGTTTTGGTAGCAGCATATAACGAAAAATATTTTCACAAAGGTTGTTGGGAAACGCATCAAAAACTTCAATACCTTGATCACGATTTCTCTGTATTCCGTATATATATTAATCCAAAAATCAGCAATTTGAATAAAAGTTAATAATGTAGAGTTGGTGGAAATTTCTATAAGTTGATCTTTTTCTTTCAAAGACAATTCATCCGTATTTACAGAATCAGTGAAGGGATTTTGAATCCAAAGGAACTTCTCAACATGTAAAGGAAAGTATTCAACAATGGTTGGTCTCATATCAGATAAATGTTGCACGACAGAATCTTTTACCTCTTTATCCAGGGAAATTCCATTAACAAGTAAAAATTTACAAAGATTATCAAAGCAATCATAACCCCCCCCCCAAAAAAAAACAACAACACACACTAACTCCGAAGTTTTAGGTTGCGCTGAAGTGCATTAATCCTACTCTAGGCTTTGAAATATGTTACATTTTTGCCCTGCAATGCAACGTTTATTTCATTCAGATATGATAATATATGTGAAAGGTAAGCCAATCCCTGCAACCAACATGGATCACTTAATTGGTAAGAAACCTCAAATGGATGTTTGTTAGGACAAAAAAATCGTAATCTCTTCACGCAACTCGTAGAATCTAGCTAAAACTCTGCCTCGAGACAGCCACCGAAACTCTGTATGCAGCAATAAACTTATATGGATGCTTCCCATATCGTTACACAATAAATAAACATTTTTTGAATAAAGTGGTCTTGATTTTATGAAATTAATTATTTTAGTTACATCACTAATTACTTCTTTCAAATTTAAGGGCATGCGCTTGATGGCAAGTGCATGCCGATGAAGAAAGGAATGGATACTTTCAATTTCCGGGTTTTCTTTCTTCATGCGTGCTACAGCTCCCGAAATGTTTCCTATCATATTAGCAGCTCCATCAGTGCATATGCTTGAACATTGTTTCCATGAAATTCTATGGTCTTTCATAAAAAATTCAACCAACTTAAATATTTCTTCCCCTGTTGTGTGCGTAGCTAAAGGCTTACACAGTAAAATATCTTCTTCAGTACGAGATTCATGCATATAACGAACGAACACTAGTAAAATGGCCAAGCCTGTAACATCAGTGGATTCATCCATTTGGAGAGAAAAAGTTGGACTCAGCTTTACTCGCCTTATTAATTCATTTTCGCAAAACGTTGACATGTCTTCAATACGCCTAGAAACTGTATTGTTTAAAAGAGGTACACATTTAATGTTTTGAAGGTATTTTTCATCAGTCATACATTCCACAAAATCTTTGACACAAGGCTTGATTAAATTTTCAGCTGTGGTATGGGATTCACGTTCTTTAGCTATACGGTAGCTAATACGATATGAAGTAATAAGAGCTCTTTTGTTGTCTTTAGAAATAAATGAATGAAACTTTCTTTCGTCTATTTCTAAGCACTTCCTTTTAAAATATTCACTGCTTTTATTTTTCAAGTGAGAATAATTGGTTTCTAAATGTCGTTTGAGTTTTGCAGGAAAGAGACTACTATTATTCAGCACCTTTTCACATTCAACACAAAGTCCGCTTGGTTCTTCCTTATCACCAGTCAATGTAAAACCATAGTTTATAAAGCTATCGTCATATTTTCTTATTACTCTTTTTATGGCACTTTTATTATGCGTTCTTGGCACTTTGGCACATGGCAATGATGTCGACGAACTCGCCATACTTTCCTCATCTTTCCCACTTAGGCCTACTTCGTCAGAACTTTCAGAAGCAACGCTGCCTTCACTAGACTTGTTACAAGTTTTCAGCCATTTATTCATTTTATGGGTGAAATCAATCAATTTTATATTAGGAGTTCTGGCACTGTTCAAGGAATAAAATAAATGAAAAGCAATGTGAGACAAAGATCTCCCAAATTGCACAAATATGTATGTAAATCCGGCCGGAATTACGATGTCAACAGCACTGGAGATTTGAGGTTAGTGGGCAATATATTTTCATTTTAGCGAACAAAAATTTTGAAATTAACATGTAAATATAGGAATTAGCTTTAATTTTTTCAAAATTTAGCTCCAAGGTCGAAATAAAATTTGGCAACACTGACATACAGGCTTTCATGCGCATATACAGAAAAAAAACGAGAAAAAAGTTACAATTGAGGGTATAAATAAGTAAAAATAAATGAGAATTTCAAATACAGCTACAATTAAAGGATGATTAACACAAAAAAAACTTTCTCAATGATTATTTGAGCTATTTCTATGATGTTATTTTTGCAGTACATTTCATTTCTCATAATAATTAAGAAAGTTTCAATGTGCGTCGCGGAGCATTAAAATTTGCTTTGCGAAGCACTACTGCTCCGCGGAGCATGGGTTGGGAAACCATGATCTAAGCCATCATTTGACTGCATTGGCTGAACAGACAGTCCTCGCCATCATTCTGGCAAACACACACGCCTATTCACGCTCTGGTTAAAAAGAGCAGTGTGGTGGACAACACTGGAAGTCGACTTATGAACATCTAACAAGTTCAGTGCAGGCTTTAGGAGCTGAATCCTTTGTCATCAATATAAGTTCTAGGTCTTCGTCATTTCCCAGCAACCATCCAAACTCCATAGGTGATGACAGCAGCGGTTGGGCAGTTAGCGAGTTCAACCACATAGAACACAACTAATAGATGCTTGATACTGGTCTGCTTCAAACATTTGATAACGCAATGCGTCAATTTCCGTTGTAGGTTGTAACCCGTACAGTTGGACTACAACTTCTACTATCTTTCGTGTAGCAGGAGAAACAGAAGTTTCCACATTCGAAAGTCCTTGTGGTGAAACATCACATAAGGACTTTCCATATCCACAGAAGTAACTCGTGGAATACTGGAGTAGTTTAGCAGAAGACTGGAACTAGCTTTTTTGCAGTATCATGCATCGGATCAAAGTGGTTATCTAGTTTTATTATAAAACTAGACTTGTTCAGATAGTTCTTCAGCAAGATGTGTAGCACTTGATAACAATTATGGTAAATCACTCTTCGGGACTTGAGCAGCATGTAGAATTGATCTGGTGTCTACTCCTCGAAGAAAATACCATCTTGCCACCGAAAATAATTTATTTTTATAGACATGAAGAATATAATAACTAGAATGCAATTTTAAATATGAATAATTAAATAATCTGAGAAAAATGGTAGTAATATAGGTAGCTGATATAAATTCATTTTTTTATGAAATGCAGCCTGCCAAGCACCCAATGAACGTAGTCCTCAGACATTATAGACAGATTTTTAACCGATTCGTCAGGTGGAAAGCGAATTTTTATTATAAATATTAAAAACACAGCACATCTCTATTTACGAACGATTCGAATTGCTTCAAATTCCTTCATTACTGTTAAAACCCCAAAAAGTTAATTCACAGTATTTTAACTACTAAAAACAATATTAATTATTAAGATTTAAACGGTAGCAATATAATGGAACGTACTATAAAAAGTGGTAAGATATATGTTTAATAAAGTTGTTAACAAAACATTATAAAGAAAGATTTGAGTATAAATATAAAGACTGCATCTTTAAGAAATAATGATAATAATCAAATAGAAACTGCGGATCTGGAATTCATTAATGTCAAGCAGGAGGAGTTGGTGTTATTATTTAGTGTTGGGTGATCGATGAAAATGGAGAGGCTTTCTTTAGAAAAGATTTCGTAATCTGTGGTTCTCGAGTCGAGAGTTTTCAAGAAGTATGGGGCGATTGTTATTCGCACTGTGCAATCGGATACCAGACTCTAGTATATAAGTTAGCTTATATCTGCTTCCTAGCTGAAACTTCCACGTGTATATGTGCATTTGTAGATGACGTGTAGTTTTACCAATATAGGTGGCATTACAGCTGTCACGTGTGTATTTTTACACGACCCACGAGTTCATAAAGATGGTTAGAGTGCCTTTGGTTTTAAATTACGTTTGAATTCTAATTGTTGACTTAAATATGCCTTAATTATTTTTTAATTTGAGATTTGAGTTTAAATTTTGTTCTCCAATAAAAGGATATTTGTAGACTGTGTATGCCTTCTTCGTAGGTTTTACTTGTTGACAGCACTTCTGACACTACTTTATTTTGGCTCGACTTTATTACGACCGTGCTAACGATATTTATAGACTGTGTATGCCTTCTTCGTAGGTTTTACTTGTTGACAGTACTTCTGACAATACTTTATTTTGGCTCGACTTTATTACGACCGTGCTATACTCACATGATCGCTTTTATTTCTATCAAGAATGGACTAATATACAAAATAAATTTCTGTTTATTACTATACTTAAATTAGGCTTTGGTTCTTACAGGCAGCATGTTATTTTTTCCTTCACCTCTCTCTCTCGGTTTATTTATTGTTACTCACATCTCTCGGTCTCTCTCCTCCTGTATTTGTTTTCTCGTTGGTCACCTTGTCTTTTATTATCTTTCCCTAAACCACACCAAACACCCCGTTTTCCTTATATCGGATTAAAACGAAAACGTCTCGTGACCATAGAGGGTTCTTGTAGCTTCCAAATCTGATGAACTTAGAAAGGCATCCGCTTTTCTAATAATTTCATAACCAATTAGAGTGAAGAGAAAAGTAGTCAGAACGTATATTATACGCTCTATTTAGCAGATTTAGAACACGGTTACTTTTGAGTCTAATATGAAACTTTTGAAATGAGTGTATAAGCCAATTAATGTTCTGTTCTGAAACTGAG